CTGGTCAAGCACTGGCAGTCACCTTAGTCTAAAACCCAGGTGTGACTCTCCGGCATGTCATGCAACACCTGCTCCTTCATGGCAGGAGTTTAGGGTATGGCGAGAGCCCTTATCCTTGAGCATGCAGTCAGGATCCTAACTGACTCTGTCCTTCAGGGTCATGGATCTGGGGACCTTTCATCTGACTCTGTTTCTGCGTCTGTAAAATGAGGCTGGTGATAGGATTGTCATGAGAATGAAATCTCTTGGTAAAAAGAGATCTCGACATGAAAAGCCGGAGAGATAAATGACGATGACAAGGACCCTGGACTAACTGCTCTTTCTCTGTGCGTTTTTTGATTATCTATGGACCTTACCATGCATCCCAGATGACCCCCACATGCATTTTGCTTGAAATTGTGTATCACCAGACACCCTAAAAGCCCCACGTCAATGGCGACACCTGACTAAGTGTCCTGAGTTCACTTGCAGGACACGGTTATAAAATATTCCTGACTGACAGACATACCCTACTTTTCCCCAGCCTCTACTGCACACTCATTCTCTTTTCATTTATGTATTCTGACATTCTGTCCTCAGAGCCCAGTCACTCTGCCCTCTCACTCTCTGTCCCCAGTGGATCTGCACATTCACACCCAACTTTTCTCCACTCCTCTCCTTTTCACACGCATGTTCTTCTCAGCACATTGACCCACAGAGAGCCTCGTGCCTGCAGACGCACACCCTTGACCTTCTAAGGTCCCCCAGACCTTCATTATGGGTAGTTCTGGGCTCACCAAACCTGAAATTCCACCTTGCCCATCCCAAGGATGGAGAAAGCTTCTGCAACTGTGCCCAGCAAGGTGGGATGAAGACCTACGACAGCCGGGAGGCTCCGGACACCTGGCTGCACCTGTCCAGGGCTATTCTACCCATAGAGCTCTTCACCATAGCCCAAAGGGCCCAGGATGGATCCCCCTGCTGCCTGCCTGGACGCTGCACACACACCCCATGGCTGTCCAGATTGCTCGCACTGTTAGCTGCTGTTCAAGGGGCAAGTGCTCCCGACATGGGGGGTGAGGGGGTGGGGGGAAGCTTGGCTAAGGGAGCTGCCTGCTTCTTCCCAGCTCGGGGTGTAGGGAAGAATTAAGCTGAATGTGCACCTATTCGGAAGGGCAAACAGCCAGAAATAACTGGGAGCAACAGCATTTCATCTGACAGGCCCAGAAATAGCGCTCATTTAGGAGCGCACCACGGCTGCAGCCCCAGTGATTCCGAGACCTTCAGTATTCCCCCAAACTACACGGAAACGCTCTCTGCCTACACAAGCGAAGTGCTTCCATCCCCCCGTGCTCCACCTTCACAAGGTGAGGGCTTGTTAGCAGGAAGTCTGCAGAGTCTGAGGCCCGAGGAGAGGAGGGTGACTGCTAACTACGAGGACAGGCACATGGAGAAACGGAGTTAGGGAACAGAGTTAGGGAAGGTGAGCCTGGAGGTCAAGGGAAAAATGGAAATACCAAACCCCAAAATGGCAAGCAGGATTTCGCTAGATCCCAAAGGTCATGCCTGGCAAGGATAAAGGTCACAGTTTTCCTTTGGGGATGGACAGTGGGTGGCTTGAGAGCAATCCTCTCGTTTTCCTTTCCTCTCTCCTAGTTTTGCTTTCTTCTCTTCCGTTTCGATGTAAAAGGCAAACATCACAGTCCATTCGTCTTCACTCGGCCTGACGGAGACTGCGGAAAGGAAGGAGGGGAGAGGGCCACAGGATTCCAGAGGAGCCTGGGTGTGGAAACAGCCATGTTCTCACAGGAAGGAGTTGGGGATACCAAGGAACAGAAAAGAAGGAAGGGTAGGAGGGAGGAAGACAGCGAAGGAGGGGGAGAAAGAAAAGAAAGAAAGGAAGCTGCTGGGCTCCATTTTATTCATGACCATGTCCAGGGATTTTGGACAAGGCAGCGGGATCGGCACACGGAGACGGTTAAGAAACCATGCCTGCTTTCAGAGCGCTTGCAGTGTGCTCGAGGGGAAGAAGCCAGTCCACCAAACACAACGGAAGGCAGAATCGGCCAGTGGCCCCCCAGCGTCACCGCTGATGCGTGGTAGGGCTGGAGAGAGCTACCAGCTGAATTCTGACCCGAGGTCACGACCGGCCCGCCATCCATGGGAAGGGGAGCAGGTGGAAGGAGCAGTTCTCACCCTGTGCAGCCCCTCCCCGCTCCGCCCTAGTGACCCAGAGCTCGCTGTCTCTGCGAGGGCCAGCTCTCTCCACCTCGTTCATCCTCAGTACTGGGAAACTGTCCCCAAGTGCCCCCACGGACAGTGCCAGTCCACCGCAAAATGAAACCAAGACGTCGGCAGTTTTCCCACAAACAAATTATATTGTTTAATGGACTGTCTTAGATTAAGATGCTAGAGTTTTCCTCATTTCTTGATGGTACAAATGCCTTGTCTTTTATTTATTTATTTTTCCATGAGAAAGAGAACGAGAGAGATGGAGACAGAGAGAGAGAGACAGAGAGCAGTACAGCCAATAGAATCTGACATCGTGGTTGCCCCCTGCCTCCAGCCAGCCCTGGACCACGGCGGGACATGCCTGGGCACTTAGGAACTCCTCTGATGCCAATGAGGAGATTTCCCACGTGGTCAGACTCGAAGGGCGTTGTGCTTTACTGCTAGGCCACCGTCCAGCCCCCACAAATGCCTTGTCTTCTTAGTGAAACGTTGATAGAAGATTGTATACTTTGGGGTGAGCTTTTAAAATACATGCATTTTCACTTGACAAGTTGATAGCCAACCACACTGGTCCCTGAGATTACTGATCTCCAAGGATTTCTGAGCCTGAGGACAGGGTCCTGGCCTGGGCCGCTGTGCCATGCCCACTCGAGTGGCCATGTTCAGGCTGCCCTCTCTCTCCTGTCCCAGCCCCTGCAGGCCTCTGGCCACTCCTGCCGAGGGGCTTTGGTAAGCTCAGCCCACACTCCACCCTCCTCGAGGCCCCGTGGCCCTGTCCTGGTCCGCGTTGGCTGTGGAGTTGCTGTCCTCCTACCGCCTCCTTCCGGGGTGTGACAACGGGACTCGGCCAGGGCATCACGAGGGAGGCCAGATTAACGCAGCCTCCCTGGGGGGCCCTTGGTATTTTAGTGGCATAGTAAAACTTAATTCAAACCAATGCATTATAACGGTGGCATGTCAAGCCCTTCTTCCCACAGGACAATAAGAAAAAAATACATTTATCTAAATAAAGGGCCTTCTTCTAAAATCGGACCGCCCTGTTCAAGTTCCTGACACAAACTGCTAGAGAGGGGCAGAGGGAAGAACTGATCCTGGCTTCTGGATCAAAATGTTGCACTCGGCCAAAAAGAAATCTCACCTCTCCGCCCCGCTCCAGTGCAGGGCTGGGGGCCAGTCCCACTGCCCCCTGCTCTGCCAGCAGAGCAACCCGCTCGCCCCCTTTAAAGGACCAACCTGTCCAGGCCAGCTTTCAGCACACCTGCTGCTCCCGGGATGAAACAGATAAATGGATGGCCTTGCCTATCCCAGAAGTCCTGGGCCTTGGCGGGCCTGATACTCAGTAGGAGCTTAATAAAAGACACCTAGGTGAGTAATTGGGTACACCAGGCTAAAAATAAGCCAGCGTGTGTGTGTGTGGGGAAATCTTCTCATCTTGGGACCAGCAGTTACCGTAATGGCTATGTCACTGGACTCCCATGTAGTCAACGCGGATCAAGTCCGGAGTTGGTGGCTTGAACTTACGTTGGGCGCATGTGCGTGCATGCCCAAGATCCCAAGAGGAGAATGGAGGAGAAGGGATTGTGGCATGGCCATCCCCCCTGGGGGGTGATTTCTTGCTTTCTGTCTCTCTGTCTCTGTCTTTCTGGTGAGCACACATGCCATATAGTAAAAACCTCTAAAAAAAAAATGTCAGTACAGCCATCCCACAAAGCACGTAGTTCCAGGTTTGCACCCACAGACTTCCCGGGGTACATGGGCAAAGGATCAGGGCATGCTGAGGCTGAGGGTGGACTGGAAACGGGACCCGGTTGTGGGTGTTGTCCCTCTCATGGAAGAAATAAATGGAAGAAATAATTAAATGAAACTTCTAAAATAAGAAAATAGCTCTGCCCCCTAGCAGGCACTTCTGTGTGGGCTACAACACTTCAGACCCTGGAGGCTCGCAGAGAGATCTCTGATTCCGCGTCTCTGAATCCTAACTACACACTGTCGAGGGAACCGTGCAGCTCTGTGGAAACCAGCAGAGCGAGTGCTGAGTGAGGAAGGACAGAGAGTCTGGAGAAAGGCCCGGGAGGACCGGCAGAAACTCCAGAAATATGGTGACTCCCAGGGAACCCTGTTCTCCGGAAGAGGCCCAAGGTCTTCCTCTTCCATACGTTACAAGTGTCCTCTGCATTCTGACCTTAAAAAAATATGGACAGCAAGCATCTGGGACAAAGCCACCAGGTCCTTTCCCTTAGACACTTGATAGTAAATGGTTTGCCACAGGAGAATTTTAAGTGCTTTGTTTTTGTGGAACTGGGACAAGGACAGTGGGTACGTCTGTCAGACCCCCCCAAAGTGCTCTCCTGCGTTGGGATTGGGAGCAGGAGGGACCTTTCCTTACAAGCCAATGGTCCCGGCAGGGGTCTCTGCTCACCAGCAGCACCCGCCTCCCCTGGGAGCCTATTGGCAGGGCAGAGTCTCACCCCCCAACCTCCCAGTTGGCCTGAATCCGAACCCTTCAGTGTTTGGACAATCTCTCCCAGTGACTCTGCCCAGGCTGAAATTCGAGAACCCCTGATAAAAGGCACTAAATCTTTCATTGTGTGATGAGGACCAGGGCCTGGCACAGGGTCACTGCTCTTGGGTGACCTAAAAACAGTAAGGGATGACTCAGCTAGGAGTCACCTCCAGTGTGGCCATGCAGGGGCTGGACTTTCAGAGGGCGCGTCCACGCACGGGGGAGCCCCACGCGGGGGGCTGGCAACCCGGGCAGCCCGCGCTCGCCCCCAGCCTCAACCCCACACCTGCCTCGACTTGACTTGCACTGGGGGCTCCTCCAGAGGAAAAAGGCGGTCGCTCCCACTTGGCCAGCTTATGTGAGTGGCAATCCGCACGAGGCCAAGGGAAGCTTGTGCGAACTTTGGAAGGTGGGTAACTGCTTTGGAGCTGCAGCCGCCAGATCC